CTGACAATATATTAAGATCTTTGAAAAATAAGGAAAAATAAGACAAAGTAAGAACAAGAAGTTTAAATATTCTCATGATCTCTTCTAGCAATTCATAAATGTTCAATTTACACATCTTTTTTTCATCATGAGGAGTTATCACATTAAAATAATATAAGTATTCATATAAAGCGGTGTTTTTAATAAGTATATAAGGATATAAAGGGATACGTAATTACAGAAAACGAATGATTAATATTAATTAAAATCGACTTACTCTTTTGTTCAGGTGAAGCGCCTGCTAAGAGTTGGTAAAATATGTGGAAGGTTCTCTCATCTTTTGCTTGTCGAATTGCTCTCGACTTCTCCAAGAGATAAGTTTCTATGTTTGCACCGGCAATGTAACCCGAGGCATCGAAGTTTATTCGAATAAATTTACCCTGTTTTTCATAAATTTTTCATTATCATTAAACTTAAGGATTAGTGTCATTAAGACGAATTGATTTCAACTTAACAATATTTACATTTTAATACTTAATATTTTCTACTTTAAAATCCTTGCTAAAAAAGAATTTATCATTTCATTTTCTTAAAACACAGTAAAAACTGTAAATTTCATTGTATTATATTTCAATAGAAAAGTAATTATTATGCAACTTTATAATAATTAATTATTAGTGTATAATATTGTTTCGCAAGTTGTATATCTTTATTTCAAGAAATAGAAGAATTTCTTATACATAAAAAGTTACAAAGGACAATCAGCTTGGAAAGAGTTCACAAAAAAAAAAGAGAAAAAAATTTGCAGAACTTACAAATCGGGAAGAGTTGTCGTTTTTCACTGTTTTAGCGTTCCCGAAAGCTTCTAAAATTGGATTCGCTTGTAAGAGTTGTTGTTCCAATTCACCCTATCGTGAAAAATTAATTATATTAATTAAAATGAAAATTTTTAATTTATTTTACACATTTCACGAAATCTTATTTATTACTTTTAGCATAAATATATTTTGTTTGAACTTATCAAACGTTGGTAAATATGGTAATTGGTAAATATATGGTGTATTTAAAGATTTAGTAGAAAAGTTGTAATAAAATTACTATTAATTGGCACAAATAACTATATAAATGGAACTTTCAGAAGCTACATTGACCAACTTCATTGAAAAATAGAACACATTAATGATATGTATGATCATTACTTTTTAGATGCGTCTTAAAATTTACTTCTTGATTGTAAATCAAATTACTTATGCAACTAAATCATTCATTGCTTGAAAATTAAGAAATCAATAAAAAAAAAAAATGGAATTAATCGATTTAGCTTCTGAGAAATTCAGAATAAAATTATAAAGTATGAATATATCTTTGAAACATTTGAAAAATAACAAATAATGCGTATATAAATTTGTGTAAGCAATAGAAGTTAATATGTCATTTAGAAAATTTACATCACGTGCCCAAATGAATAAACGTTCAACAGAACGAAAAACTTCTTCATTTTAAAACGAGACGATTAAATTTGCAAAATAACTGTGAAGAATAAAAAATAAGCAATGCACGAAATGCAATAAAAATTACAATATAAACGGATGTTTCTCAAAAAGAGATTATGACAGATTTTCATAATTTACTAGATTACAACTAATAGTGTATTAGTTGCAATAATTACTAAATAAAAACAATTACAATGATTATATACTCATTGTTTTTAAGGGATGCAGAACTTTGTATACTTCCTTTTAAGTTTCTCTTTAACTTAAAAGTCAACATAAATTTCTTAATAAACATAGGGATCAATGGGAAAGAATGCAAAGAAATTTCTCAGCTCAATGTAATGTATCTCTTTATGAAGCAATCAATCTTTATGTCTCTATCAAAGCAACGTTTCTTAAAACAGATGAATTAGTTATAACAATGTTGAATAAAAACAAAACATTGATCTCCAATATAAAAAAAAAATTACTTTACTTAAAGACTTTACTTTATATTATGATCAAGCGCAAAGTAAAATAAATACGTGTAAAGCATATACAACACACACACATGAATAGACACGACAGCGAATATATTAATAAATAATTCAATTAGTCGACTCTCACGTTAATTACCGCAAATTTATCCGATACATTTCCGGAACCCTGAATCCAGCGAGCAGCAATAAAAAAAAAAAAAAATACGGAAAGTATGTTAGAACTAGAACTTTTATGAAACATTTTTCTTTTCCACTCGATCAAAGCTATTGTGTTAAGAATAATATCTTCGATTTGATTTTTTTTTTTTTTCATTAACGCCACTTTATTAGTAGTACATAGAATACAATATGTAAAAAGAAGGGAAAGAGAGAAAATGAAGAAAGGAAGAGAGGGG